CCCCTCTTTTTTTTTTTTTTTTTTTTTTTTTTAATTTAGAGAGAGGTTTTTGCTATAGAGCGTGCACTAACCAGAGAGACAGAAAGTGAAAAATCAGCCCCCAGGAGGGTGTCCACACCACAGTCCCTTCTCTTGAGATTTTGGGCACATACACCAGTGTGAAGTTTATGCTGCTGGGTCTGGGACTCGAACCACAGTTGACTATGTAACCATTACGCCGTCTACTGGCCCCCTCGTCTCTCCACAGGGAGAGGCCTCCGTGTCTGTGCTCCACAGCGCTAGGGCGAGCCCGTGGCTGTCTCTTTTCAAGGTCCAGACTTCTCTCTGACATTTGGGAAAATCTGTGTTAGGCGAACAGCTCTGACTGTAGGAAGCTTCGTGCTGCCTGAGGTGTTCTCATCCAGCAGGGACGGCAGGGGCTACGCAGGCTTCCCCACCTGGAGCCCAGTTCTGAGTGCCACTGGTGACGCACACAGGGCGCGACCCTCCTCCCTGCAGAGGTGCCTGTGTGTTCCTGTGGAGGAGAACAGGCCAGGCCCTTGGCGATGAGGCCTGGGCCGTGGCGGTGAAGTCAGGGCAGCACTGCCTTCTCACTGAGCAGCCGTCTCCCATGGCCTGCGCACGCTTCTCGTTCTAGTCTTGGTCAAAGTTTTATGATAACGATTTAAGGTGGCATTACTGTTTTTCCTGGCATCGTCAAACCTTTGCATCCTATTTCAGTTGAATTAAGAATTATGCTGTAGTTGAGGGGCCTGATAGGGATGCAGTGGTGAAGTGCAGTCTTCTGGAGACTGACCACATGGAACGTTCTGGTTTGCATCTGGAGGTACAGCTCTGTGAGCACTTGTGCCCGTGGTACAGGCTGGTGTGCCTGGGGTCCTGGGGTCAGAACCCTTTTGGGGGCACTGTCTCTGTCTTTCTCACACATGGAGTAAATGCAATGTAGGTGAGTCATTATGGAGTGACTGTCATTTCATCGATATTTTCATAGATTCCTTTGGGCTTGTAGAATTTGAATGAAATCTGAGGTTAAGTTGAAGTTTTTAATTATTTGTTTTGTATCTTTTTTTCTAATTACTTTTTTGATACAAAATTAAACAGTTTGTATATTCCTTATTGAAATCCTTGGGACTGGAAGTATTTCAGATTGCTCATTTATTTGAGAGTGTTTTTGGGAACATTTGCATATACATGATGAGTTATTGGGGTGGAACCCGTCTAAGCAGAACATTCATTCGTGTTCCCTACGCTCTATTTACGTAGCCTGAAGGTATTGGATGCAAGTTTCGCACTGCAGCGTTTGACTATGACCCACTGTAAAAGTCAGGTGTGTAGTTTTTCAGTCATGGCATTGTGTTGGTGCTCAAAAAATTCTGGATTTTTGGGTTTGAAAGTTTTCAGTTAGGGATGCTCAGCTAGGTATAGAGCTCAGATATGTAAAGATATTATGTAAGAAATCTCCCCTGACCCGCCTCTAAAGAGGTAGTATTTGAAAAGATTGGTGAGTATTCAGACACCTTGTTTTTCTCTACATATAACTATTGGGTCATCAGAAAATTCATGACATGGGGCTGGCAGGTGGCATGATAGTTAAGACGCTGAACTCCCACATGACCAACCACAGTTTGAGTCCTGGACCTGGCACCTTGCTTTCTCACTTTCCTTCTGTGTCTCTCTCTGGTCAAATTAGAAAATAATAAATAAAATTAAATAAATATTTTTTTTTAAAAATTCATGGCTATTTTATGTTTTTCTATGCAAAAATGTATCATGAGTTTTACAATGACCCAATATATAAAAATATGGTTTCTGCAGAAATGGAGTCTTATCTTAGGGACAGACAGTTGGTGTTTTCCCTTTCTTCCTTCTTTTATACTTAATATACTTATCTAAGTACATATGAGTTCTTATTGTACATGTAAGTATAAATGTATATACTTCAGTTTCGTAAGTATAAAGGTCCACATGCCCATTCACGCCTATCGCGTCTGTGTGTCGTTACTGACAGTGTTAAGGGTGCGTGAATGTCCGTGGGGGAGGGGACTGAGTGAGGGTGCTCTGCACCACAGAACCATCGGTGTGCGTGTGCTGTGACACGTGTCTGCAGGAGCGAGGCAGCTCAGTTACAGAGGTGTAGTGTGTGGCACTCGCGCCTGAGCTTTGCAGTTCATGGCGAGGGCTTGTGGCTTCCTACAGGGCAGGGCTGGCTGTGAAGGAAGGCCACCGCTGTGTGCCTGCTCTCAGGGCTGCCGCCCAGAACCAGCTCTCAGCATCCTCCTGGCTGGCATCTCTAGGTGCTGGGTGGGCATCAGTCTCACCAAGCCCCGCCGGACATGGGCCAGTGGGCCGCTGTGTGGTGGGCCCTGGGGGCTGAGGAGCAGCATAAGTGGTGGCTCTCACCGTCACTGGAACAGTAACTCTTGGGGCACGTCGTGGTTTTCCTCAATTGCCAGAGGGTGTGTACTCGACTAAGGGGCAGTGAGGGAGAAAGTGCCCTGGGGTGGTCATACTGACTCCCTTCTTCATTTCTCAGTCCTGCTAGTATTTGGGGCACACATGCACGTATACCTGTGTGTTCTCCTGCTGCAAGGACTGAGATTCAGACCAGTCAGCCATGTGCGATCTGGCTCATAATCACTGGGCCGTGGGGCTGGCCCTGGTTTTGTTTCTTTTCTTAATAGGTCATGTGTACTTACCAGGGAGAGACAGAAAGAAACAATGAGAACTCATCCTCGGGGGCGGCGACGGCCACACCATGATTCCTTTTTCCCTGTCTCCTCTTAGATTTTTGGGCATGTACACACATGCTTGGCATGATTTTTTTTTTAAAGAATTATTTTATTTAACTTTATTTATTATTATTATTTAATTTGACCAGTGAGAGACAGAGAGAGAGAGAGAAAGCAAGCCACCAGGTCCAGGACTTGAACCATGGTCGGACATGTGGAAGTCCAGCACCTTTAACTACCACTACACCTGCTGGCACCATCCTGGCATGATTTTTATGGGATCAGCAGATGGTGTAATGGTTATGCCACTCAACTCCCACATTGTTGATCGTGATTCAAGTTCCAACCCAGCGGCTTAAAAGTCACGCCGAGTGCATGTGCATGTGTGCCCAAAATCCTGAGAGGAGAATAGAGGAGAAAGGATTGCAGCCTGGCCATCCCCTCTAAGGGGTAATTTCTTGCTTTCTGTCTCTCTTTTTTTCTCTCTTTCTCTCTGGTGAGCTCACACACCCTGCAGCAAATAATTTGATCACACACACACATACACACACACAGAAAGTGAGAAAGCAAGCCACCGGGTCCAGGACTCGAACCGTGGTCAGCCATGTGGGAGTATCCAGCTAACCACCATGCCACCTGCCAGCATGATTCTTAAGCTGTTAAGCTGCCAGATCCAGGACTTAAAACTATGAAGCTGGCCATATGGGATACAACACTTTAACCTCCATGCCTCCTGCTGGTACTGGCCCTGGCCCAGGTTTTATTTTTTAAGAGAGAGATTATTGCTGTAGGGCACGTCCTTACCAGGGAGACAGAGAGAAACAGAGACAGAAAGCAGGAAGTCACCCCCTAGAGGGGATGGCCATGCTGCAATCCCTTCTCCTCCATTCTCTTCTCAGGATTTTGTTCACACACGTGCACATGCCCTGTAAGAGTTTCAAGCTGCCAAGTGTGGGACTTGAACTGTGGTTGGCCATGTGGAAGTCTTACTCCATCTGCTGGTCTTCCTTCCTCAGGTTTTTTTGTTTTGTTTTTTGTTTTGTTTTGTTTTGTTTTTCAATTAAAGAATTATCTATTCAGGGACCAGCAGTTGGCTGTGTTGCTGGACTCCCATGTAGTTGACCGCGTTTTGAGTCCCAGACCTGGTGACTTAAACTCATGCAGGATGCGTGTGCGTGCGTGCCCAAGATCCCTAGAGGAGAATGGAGGAGAAGGGATTGTGGCGTTGCCATTCTCCTGGGGGGTGATTTCTCGCTTTCTATCTCTGTCTTTCTGGCGAGGTTCTCTTCCTCTTCTGCTCTGTAAATGAGAACTCTGTCCTGGCAGTTGGGATCTGGCACGCTCGGTGCACACGGTCCCCGGCATCTCGGCATCACCACCTGCTGTCTAGAAAAACGAGGAGGAGGCCAGCTGGTGATTTGGCCGAGGTGGCTGGATCCTACATGGCCAACTGCTTGGTTCACATCTTGAGCCCAGTGGCCTTAAAAATATGCTGGGTACGTGTGTGTGCCCAAAATCTCTAGAGGAGAAAGAAGGAGAAGGGATTGTGGCATGGCTATCCCCTAGGGGGGTTATCTCTCACTTTCCCTCTCTGGCTCACTTTCTCTCTGATGTGTGCATGGGCCTTACAGCAAAATTCAAAACAAAAAGAAAAGCATGTCGAGGAGAGACCTTGGTGGCTAGAAGGATTTGCTGTCTCTTACGGGCTTTCATGCAGATAGAGCCCGAGTGCCCCTCGCAAAGCAACACCTGGCAGAGCCTTTCTGAGGGCTGACGCTCTGTGCTCCAGAGTTAGGTGCTGTTGGAGGCTCGCTCGGGAGCCTGTTTCAGCACTTTGCAGCAGTATTTCTTGACTGGAACTCAGTTACTTTTCTCGTGACTTCCAGTGGACTGCCCCCCTCTCAGCCTATGGATCAAAGATTCACACTGGGGCATGGATGAGCTCAGCGTCCACAGGCAGGAGTCTAGAGCCTGCCGTGCACTGGAGCCCACTCCCGTGGCATACACCTGGCTCGCGCTGTGGGTGCAGCTCACCCACGCCGATGTCGGGGCCAGCGGCTTGCTTGGTGATCCGGCGTGGCAAGCATGCTGTGGCTGTATAGAATGAAGTGGAAATGTGCGTAGAGTTACTCTGAAGTTGGCCCGGTGGTTCCTCCAGGTGTCTGTCATATTCAAAGTCCTTCCTGAAGCTGTCAAGGAACACAGCGAAGCAGTTGGCATACACTAGGCCTCTGAGAAATTGGCTGTGGTGAGGGGCTTGTCCAGCAGAATTTTAGATTACGCAGTATGATCGTTAACAGGCCATATGCGCGTTCAGGGGTGGCATTCTTTGGTTTCCGTCTGGTAGTCTTTGCAGAGCATGGCCGAGATTACCCAGGGTGGTCTGTGTGCACGCACTACATAGACAGGCAGAGAAAAAGTGCAAATTCACGTCCCTGGAGGATGGCGAGCCCACAGTCCTTTCTCCTCCGTTCTCCTCTTGGGGTTTTGGGCACACACACGTGTCTGCAGTGTTTCGCAAGCCCCGAGTCCAGGACTCACACCGGGCAGTCGGCCATGTGGGATGCAGCCCCCTTCACCACCACCTGCCTGCTGACCCAAACTGCCCCTTTGCCATTGTGCCCCCGATGCACAAGTGGACAAGAATTTGTGAAATCATGCCTGTTCACCCCACTCGTATGGCTCTGTTCCATTTCAGTTTCTGAAAATGTGATTAAACCCACTAGATGGCTTTCCCAGGCTACCAAGAGGTCACGGTGCAGACGGAGGTCCCTCGTCCTCGTTCCGGCAGTGGAGACCTGCCCCTTGTTTTACTGCTTGGCCTAGTAAAGCCATTCTCCCGGAAGTTCGCATCACCCCCCTTCCTGGCCGTTCCCCTGAGCTGTCCTAGCTCAGCTCCGATGCCCTGTGCTGCCTGGCAGGGTGGTTCTTAGTCTTCTCTCCGCTGGTGCTGAAGCAGAACGAAGTGTTCCCATCACCGCTTCCTTCCTGGGATAACTGGTGTGGGGGGGGTAGTGAAGCACACCCAGTATTCTTTAGTGACGGTTCTGCAGCCATAGCTGAGCTCCCCATGGAGAGCGTGTTGGGTTCGGCACGGGCATCAGTAACCATGTTCATTTTCCGTTCAGCCACGTCAGCGGGAGCAAGCCTGGCTGGGAGAAGACAGGAAGCCACTCGGAGCCTCAGGCACGTGGAGACCCAGGAGACCAAACCAAGGTAGACCGCCTGCGCCTCTCGTCCCCGAAGCCCGACTCCTTGGCAGTGTTGTAGTAGGGGTCAGTTTACAGGAAAGCCCACCTGGCTTGGAAGCTCCCCACCAGGCGGGGAGCTCTTCACAGAGGCCTGAGGGGAAGGCAGATCGGGCTTGTCTTGGCCTCTGTCTGGGGTGGCTGCCTGTGCACACCCTCCCTGGGGCCTGCTGGCCGCACTCCTTGGCCCAGCACAGAGCCTGCCTTCTCGAGGCCGAGCTCCTCGTGGGGTTTCCGTGAGGATGAGCTGAGAGTTGGGGTGTACCCTCAAAGTGGAAGTGGAGTACACTGCATTCTTCTGTATCTACCTGCTACTAGTGATCTCGAGAAATACCTTTGCAAAGTCACTCCTGCCACATGTGACCGTTTAAAGCTCCTACGTAGTTTTAATATCAGATGATTATCCTGTAAATAAAGTAACGCGAGTGCGTCATGGATGCCTGGCGCAGTAGCCCCCTTGTCCACGGTCTGGCTTTCTGTACGGTCGGTGACCTGTGGGGTAACACAGCGGGGGGCTGTGAGCGATGTCACTGACGTGTCTCCAGCGTGTAGTTGCGTGTGTTGTTAGTGCCTGCTTTATAAACCAGACGGCAGAGGGTTTGTACGGACAGTGGGTGTGGACTCTCCACTGTCTCAGACCCCCACTGGGGCCTGGGGCGTCATCCCCTGGGTAAGGGAGACTTCCGTGTTTCCACGGCCCCTTCCAGAAGTACTTTGAATTGTTTCATTATTCTTGCAGAGTGGGGTGTATGGAAAACACTAGGGAATTACCTGTGAGTTCTTTGTCTTAAGACTAATTTTGGCACTTTGTCATTTAAAGGACAAATGTAAGTGCTTACGAGGTACTATTGTAAGGAATTCGTTTTGTTTCGAAACCAAAGAACATATGTGTCCTTAGGGTGGCACTGGATCAAGCGGTGAGCAGTTCTTTGCAGCGTTTATTCTGATGCACAAAAGTTTACTGTGCCACTGAGAATGCTCTTGGTAACCTGTGTGAGCTGTGGCGAGGTGTCTCCGGCCTGTGTCCTCACCGCCGCCGCCCCGTGGCTCGCTTGTCACCCAGTTAGTTGTTCACACTCCTGGTTCTTTCCTGCTCACGTACGTGTATTCCAGGTCTGGTGGTTGATTCTCAGAGTGGGCATGTCTCACCTAACAGGACATCGTGCTGTCTGTCTGTCTCAGTATCTGTAGATGGAAGCACAGGCTTTAATGTTTTTATTTATTTATTTTCATTTATTTTGTCTTTTCTGTGTCAATTGACTTTGGACTGTACTAATTATAGAAGGCTGCAGTTTGGGTTTCTGTTGGCTGGCTAACTCTCAGCTGTGGCCAGGAAGAGCCAGGCTGAGTCAGGGCCAGATTGTGTCCTGGGTCTCCAGGTGGTAGCTGTCACGTCACCATGCCCTCAGCATGGTGATGTCCTCAGCTGTACGTCCTGAGGAAGAGAACAGGACTGGCCCAGCAGACGAGCAGTGAGAGCAGACGAGACAGCACGGGTGCTGCCCAGGCTTAGCAGCCCAGAGCTGGAAGCCCACGGGCCTGGGGGTGGGCCATCCACAGAGCCGAACCAGGGGAGGGGCTGCAGCAAGCGCTCCAGGCTTCCGCCCCCGCACAGACGGTGGAGCATGTGGGAGTCACAGGCCACGTCTCCTGAGGCTTGTGGTTGTCGGCGGTGTTTCCGAGTACAGGGCCGTCCAAGGGGAGCAGCCGGCCTGGCGAGCCCTGGGCTCTGTCTTCAGGGTGGCGCTGAACCTGGTCACTCAGACAGGACTCGTCTTGTGCCCGCCGTGTCTATAGGTGGCAAGCACCCTCCTTGTGCTGGGCCTGGGAACGTGACACAGACCGTTTTCGTCCCTCTGCAGGCAGAAGGCTCGTCCACTGCCTCGTCGGGAAGCCAGCTAGCTGAAGGCAAGGGGAGCCAGGTGGGCACCGTCCAGCCCATCCCGTGCCTGCTGTCAATGCCCACCAGGAGCCACATGGACATCACCACCCCACCCCTGCCCCCCGTCGCTCCCGAGGTGCTGAGAGTGGCCGAGCACAGGCACAAGAAGGGGCTGATGTACCCCTACATCTTCCACGTCCTGACGAAGGTACTGGCACGGCCGGCTGAGGCTCCTGTTACCTGACAGGTCATCCCGTGGGCGCTTTGTCCTTTTGGGCTGTTTTTCTGTCTTACTCTGAACTCTTTGAAACAGAGTTCACTTTTCCCTTTGTGAACTTTTGGAAAAAGATGAAAATTTTCACCTGTAAATACAGTTTAAAAGTCACTTGTGAAAGGTCTTACTTTCCCTTTCACTTTGGTATAAAATATTTTTGAACTGCTAATGAAATAATGACATATAACATTTTGTGATTTTATTTGTTTTTTATCTTTTTAAAAAATTGCCATAGAGTGCGTGCACTTGCCTGAGAGAGGAGAGTACTTCCCAATAGGTTGTAGTCGTGCCACAATCCTATAATCCTTTTCCCTCCTTTTTCCCATCCCTTCAGGATTGGGGCATGCATGCACATATGCCTGGCATGTTTTTCAAGGCATTGGGGGGGGATTTGAACCACACTTGGCCATGTGGGATCTGACTCCCAATGCACAGTGCTTAACCACTGCGTTACAGGGCTGGCCCTACTCTTTGTATTTGAATGTCAGAATTTCTAACACCGTATTTGTGCTGTAATGTCAGGTTCAATTCAGATGTTAGATATAATATCTGCCAAATAATTTGTCCTTAGAAAATAATACCTCCCCATTTGAGTGATTTATAGGACTTTATGTATTTTGACTTGTTCATTTACTTCATTGAGTACAATTTTAATGGTGCTAATAGCAACAAGTGGAATGCAGGATTTTGTTAACATGTACATAGTCAAGAAATGCAATTATTGTTTTATCCAGTGTCATAAGTTCACTTTATTTAGTGTTGCATGAAATGTATGCTTAAATATCCAGGTTGAGTATCCCTAATCTGAAATGCAAAATCCAAAATGCTCTGAAATCCCAAGCTTTATTTCTTAGTAAATGATGTCTCTTTATTAAATTCTTATTATTATCATTTTTTAATTTCCAAAGGGCACTGCCTATTAGGGAGGGGATCAGGGAGGGAAGAAAGAGAGAGAGAGAAAGAGAGAGCGAGAGAGAGAGAACCCTTCAGTAGGGTATAATAACATAGCAGTCCTTTCCCTCTATTTCTCCATCCCAGCAGGACTGGCCTGCACACATGCCTTGTGTGTTTTTTGAGCATTTAGAGCCAGGCTTCAAATGCAGTCAGTCATTTGGGATCTGGCATCCTAGCCCAGGGGTTAGCCATTGTGCTGTGGCACTGTCCCTGTCCCAAACTTTCCAAACGCTGACATAATGCTCCTGGTGGAAAATTTCATACCTGACCTCGTGACAAGTCACAAGTCAAAACCCCTGCAGGCCCTGTGTAGAACAGGGTGGATACGAAACAAATGAGTCCCCAAGAAGTCCCATTGTGTATGTACGGATATTCTAGAATTCAAAATCTGAGACACTTCTGGTCCCAGGCCTCTCAGATGAGGGATACTCAGCCTGTACTCATATAGCGTGGTATTCATTGTTCTTCAATCCTGCTGTCTCAAATGTGTATTTAAATTTCAGGAGAGCTCTGTAGTCTTTATGTTGGTACTCAGAATCTAATTCTCACAATTTAACAAGTCCCCGGTGACCAGTGTCATCACACAGACTTAGTTTATGGCTCCCACGTACGAGGAGCATGTCTTCTTCATCCGTGCCTGCACCACCACATGTACACACCAGATGCTTTTCTGTCTGCACCCTGCAGTCCACCTGTGGGTCGTAAAGTGGAGCCCGTAAGTGCCGAGGCCACTCCCGTGGCCCAGCACTCCTGAGGTGGCCTTCCGCTGTTAACTGAGTAACCCCCATTGCCAAAAGACTGAAGAGTGTTGCTCAACCCTGTAGCCATTTTTAGTTGTCATTGTCTCCAAATCTCATCTATTATTTGATATGGGTATGCATGTATAGTATCACTTTTCAGACTGTGGTTGTAAGGTAAACATTTTATTTTTCAGGTTCAACATAAATTATAAAGGGTAAGTGACAAGTTATTGTTGGGGGAAAAGGATTTTGCTAAGTTTAAGGGATGAAAGTTTGGGGAAGACCTCTTCAAAATTACGTGTAAAGAGACAGCCCCTGCCCATGGGGCTTTTGGAGGAGGCCAGTTCCTTGGTGCCACCCGGTCTACCCACACTGCTGGCCTGGCAGTGACGGCCAGTGAGAGCCCTGGATGTGCCCACCGTGCCGGCACTCTTCCATTCTCGTGAATTTTGAGGGCAAATATTGATAAAATGACTAGTTGAAAAGAGTACACTTAACTGTCTCTTTTGCAGTTAAAATGCTACTTGATTTTCTCAATATTTTAGGGAAAAGTTTAGGCTGTAATGCAGTGTCCTGCGAGTTGAGTAGCTCTAGTACTGAGTTTTCCAGGCTGAGACATCATCAGCAAAATAAAGCATCACAATGATACAGAGAATTATCAAAGCGTCATAATAGTGAAAGACAGATTCCCTAGGTGAGAGTGTTCGAACGTGTAGGTGCTGGACTAATGATCGTGAAAGAATAATAAGAATTGAATTGATTTAATAAGAATTTAATACTGATAATTGAATAAGAATTAAATTTGAAATTGATGTGGCAGAAGCAGCAAATTTTACACATATATTAAGAGTTTGTATTGATCAATTTAATAGATATTGGAGATCATAAAAGTATTTTCTCTGTGATGAATATACATAAATAAAATTTCTTATACAATGTCTTGAAATGTATTTCGAAGCCATAAAATACCCAAGACAGGTGACCACAGAGTTTTTGGCAATACTGTCGGTGCTGAAGCCCACGGTCAGCTGTTGTCTCCTAGCACCGTACTTTGAGCCATAGCATGGTCAAGACGGGGTGCTTTGGTTTCCTGCCCTTGTGGCTGTCTGTGTCCTCACCTGCAGTAAGACCCCTCACTGAGGCCTGGCCACACCCGCGGCAGGGCTCACATACACTCCAGCCATCGTCCAAGGCAGATCGCCTTTAGCATGTGGTAGATGTTTATGAGAGAGCGTGGTGAAGAGAACCCGACCATTATTTTCGGGGTGCTCAGCTCCTTGGAAATGACATGTTATCACGCATGACCAGCTCAGCTCTGTAAATAAAGTCGCAAGTTCTCGATGTTTTTCTGCTCTGTGTCGTCTGATGTCTTCTGTCTAGATTGTTTCAGAGACTTGGGGTCATCCCCGTGGTTTCCCTTCACCTTGGTTTCAGATTAGCAATAAAGGGTGTAGATGACTGCCTCCGTGAGCCCGCGTGTGAGCTCCGCCCGCGCCCTGCGGAGGCATGCGCTAGCCACTGACCGGGGACAGAATTGCAATGTCGTTAACTGGAGCTAATACAGTATGTTTCTGTGAGTTTATTGTAAATTCAACATGAAAAACGTGCAATATTATTCTGCTTTCTTCCATGCAAAGGGTGAAATCAAAATTGCTGTTTCTATTGAAGATGAAGCCAACAAAGACCTGCCTCCGGCCGCCCTGCTCTATAGGCCAGTTCGTCAGTATGTTTACGGAGTCCTGTTTAGTTTGGCAGAAAGCAGAAAGAAAACTGAGAGACTTGCTTTTAGAAAGAACAGACTTCCACCAGAATGTATGTACTGTAAACATCCGTTGTTTGTTTTCCTCAGTACCTCATAATCTCTTGTGCGTTTTCTAAAGCCTTCCTTAGAGGAATCGTGACTGTGCTGGCCCTGCTGCCCCCTGTAGAGGAGGCGTGCCCTCCAGGGGTGGCAGGCTGGCGTGGAGGTGCTCTTCCCTGGTAGCGTCCCATGATGGTGTCTGCCCGTACAGTAACACGGCAGCGGGTTCCAGTCTAGACTGGATGCTGCCCGGGATGCTGTCTTCAACCGCCCTCACTCTGTGCTTGCCACGCCTCAGCGGTCGGGACAAGCGTGTCTGCCTGGTCTTGACGCAGAGCGTCTCTGCTCTCTCCAGAAGCCCCGTGTCAGGAGAGGGGTCCAGCGGGTCCTGGCAGCCACGTCTGTGTGGGGGGAGTCCCCTGTACACAGCTCTGCAGCAGCGGCGCAGGCTGCGGGCCTCGAGTGGACCTCAAGCGGCTCACGGCCAGCTGGCGATGGTGCCAGAGCACCCGAGGTGTGGAGTGCACTTCTGCCCGCTGACCGGCTCTGGGGGCGGAGGGCAAGCGGGCGGGCAAGGGTGGGGGCAGAGCCTCTTCTGATGGGAAGGAAGGGCCTGTCTGTTCTGGGTGGTTGTGTCTGTGACTTTCGGGGTGCAGAATCACTGCATTCCTAGAAACGTGGAGGAGAGCCCCACAGCATGCAGTCAAAGAAGACCATTAGGAATTGTGGCAACTGTGAATTACTAGAGTGTTTTAAGCCAAAGCTCCGCGGTTCGACTCTCGCGCTCCTGGGGCCAGGGCTGGTCTCAGCAGCACTCGCTGTGCCGTCCTGAGCGTTGGAACGGGAGTTCAGCTCTGACGTGTGCCAGCTGCAGTTACAGGGGCGCGCCCTCACCTCCCTTCTGTGGAGGCAGGTCCTGAGAGCCACTGCCCACCACACGTGCATGTGGCTGGTGGGGGTGCTGGCCCCACGGCCCTCCCTCCCCCGCTCTGCGAGGCTGGAGGTGTCCCAGGGAGCACGTGCGGTGTTGGCAGTGCCCATCTTCTCCGGGTCCATGGTGATCGTGAGTGTGCACGCTCTCCTCTTCCCCGTGTGCAGTTCCCTGCTCACTGTGGGTGTTGTCCGCGTCGTCCCGACCGGCCCGCCCCGTGCTGCCTGCCCTTCAGTCCCGCAGCCTGGTGCCCCGGGCCCACGCTGCTGCTGCTCCTTTTTCTCTGCACGGTCCATTTCTTGTGCTGTCCAGGCTGCTACAGCCCTTTCGTTCTCTTTCAGAGCTCTGGCTTCACGGTGGAGGTACCTTTTTTTTTTTTCTTACTTATGTAAGAAACATGGCCACACAGGGAATTCCTGGTGATCGTGACCCGGGGTGAAATGCGAAGGGCTCTGTGGCTCCGTGCCATCCTCTGGGGTTGGACGCAGCTGTCTCCTGCCTGTCCGTTTCAGGATGTTTTGCACTGCACATGTGCCATGGCGTGATGTACTCAGAAGGCAGAATCTCGAACCACTGTGCTCTGCCACCAGTCCACGGGTGCTGGGAGCTAGGCGGGGTCACAGCTTGAGGCGTGTCTGTCCCTGATCTTCGCAGGACCGCTCCTTCTGGGGTGGCATCTCGGCGACGGAGCTCTCACTCAGATTGGGGACTCCCGGGATGGCCCAGGCAGGTGTGTGCGGCCTAAGACGGGGGTGCCACCCACCTGACCAGAGAAGGAAAGGAACTGGGGAATGCAGAGCGGTGGAGGTGGGAGCTGGTGTCTTCCCTTCAGGTGGGTTTGAGATGGCCAGGAGGACATCCTAGCTTCATAGTGAGAATTCAGTGGGGTGTCT